ATAGGGGACAGATGAAAAGTCATTTTGAAGTTTAGCTTTAATTAACAAAACAAATAAAACTTTTACATTTAGGTTTCATGGATATAGTGAGGTTCATAGCCTATGAGACATTATGAAAGAATGTAGAGTAGATTGGCAGGACTTTCAAAATATGGCCTTTTAAGTTGAAAATCTAAACAGCAACCAGTAATATTCATTATGAACTGAGTAATTGAGATGCTAAGACCATGGAAATAAAGCAAAGGTGTGATAATTATAATGCTTTTGTATTGTCTGGCTGGGGATTCATGGGAACATCGTGCTTTGCATACAGTCAGAATTCAGTAGATGTTGACTACAACTGTCTTTTTAAAACAGTTTCTAGTGTAGCCCTGGCTGGTGTGGCTCAGTGGATTGAGTGCTGGCCTTTGAACTAAAAGGTCACTGGTTCAATTCCCCATCAGGGCACATGCCTGGGCTGTGGGCTGCACCAGGCCCTCAGCTGAGGGGTGTGTGAGAGGTAACCGACCGATGTTTCTCTCCCTCTCTTTCTCCCTCTCTCCAAAATTAAATAAATAAAATATTTTTTAAAATTTCCAGTGTAGAAAACTTAGGAATATACATACTCCTGTCCATATGTATTTTCATCTGCTGCATTTATTCCACTTCATCTTTATCAGAAGTGTCTGTCTTTCATGACAGAGAGCAGGAGCTGTGCTCAAGCAGTCATTTTGTGTGATGTGTAGGAGAGCCCATGTGTTGTAGCAACACTTCTTGCAACCTGTCTTTCTCAGGAACGATAACCTCTAGTGAACCATACTTTCTGTTTAACTGAGGACCAAGTAGACTATCCTACTTTGGTATGGTTGGTTACAACAAGTGAACAAACAGTTTTTTAAAGGACATTAGTCTGTCTACTTACCTACCCCAAAATGGTGATGTGGACAAATATGCCTCAGATACCTAGAGGCCTTCGAAATTTAAATTTAATTTTGAGACACTTAGGAGTTATTTTACTGTGATTGAAGGCAATGACATGGTATTGATTGCAACTGACCTCAAGACAATTACAATTAGAAAGACTGGAAATTTTAATTCACTTGTTTAGTTCTCTAAATTCCTAATAGAATTAGTGTCCTGACCAAATTGCACTTTATTTTCAAAGAGTAATAATCAAACAAATTCTAGCTAATGGATGCTCTGGTTAGTTGGGTTCTGGGTAGTTTTACTTCAAGATTGCCTTATCATTGTTATTACATACTGTTGTATACTCAGCACCTACAACAGTGTCTGGCAGAAAGGATGTTCTCTATAAATATTTGTTGACTTCTAATGAATGGATAAATTCTTTATTAGCATCACTAAGGGCAACCACACTAAGTCAAAAATAAGCAAATTAAGTGTGTTAAATTGAACTCTGGGAAAATGATTCATAAAGGTTGAAAGTCTCTAATACATAAACTGCCTTCCAAACAGATGGAACTCAATTGAGGTTGTTTTCTTTCATTATATGTTTTTATGGTAGAATGGCAGGGTGTACAATGTAGAAATGACATTTACCAGTCACTGAAGAAATACATGAGGTTCTGGATCCTTATCTTTCAGGCTTGTAGCTGTTTTGCTAATTGTTATTCAGAGTAGGACTACTCCGTATCTGTTCCAGTCTTTTTAGGGTGGTTGCTAAACAGCTTATAAAGTTTAGAGCTCTCATTTGGAAATACACTTCACAAAAGAATAATTTTTCTTTTATCAGAAATACTAATTAAAAATTTAGCATAGATTTAAGATCTGACTTTCCTTAATGCCTGATGGCAGACTATATTCTTTGGGAGGCAATGTCAGCTGTCTCAGTATCCTAGGCTGTATTTTACTCTGATTTATCAGACCTCCATTTGGGAAGTTATTACTTTAGGTCAGGGTGCTCAATGTTATTTATAGAAGCATGAGTATGTTAGTGCATCTTCCTTATGTTTCATGATATTCCATTTCTAAGAAACATGAACACTGGAAGTATACACTTCCTTTGTGAGAAACACATCATTCGTTGGCGTAGAGCATCTCCTAGTTGTTTGGAGGTGGGTATTTGGATAAGAGAGAAGCAATAGGAAACACAGGAGAGCTCAGTGTTCACTGGCCTTTTATCAAAGCTAGAATATTTGCCAGTTTTCAGGGCATTATCAGATGACCACCCTTTTCAAATTTCACTTTGGAAATTAAAATGGTGAGCAGCCTAATTTTCATTGGACCTCTGAAGCCAAAACCATCGGCATGCAGTTGTTTTGAGAGCATCATGTTGGGGTGAAACTTTCCTTAAGAAATAAACCTAAGAACTTTAGAAAATTGTTTTGATTGTGGGAACTAAAGGGAAGTGTAGAGGAGGAAATACCTACCCTCTTTGGGTCGCCTGTTGGGCCTAAGAATTAAACTGACTAAAATAGATTAACAGAAGAAAAGCATACAAGTTTTATTAAAATTTTTACATGCACAAAGGAGCCTTAAAAAGAGAATGAAGACCTGAAGAAGTGACCAGAGCAGAAAGATATTATGTCTTTTAGACAAAGCTACAATATATTTATGAAGAAGTGACAAGAAAAGTGTTTAGGGCTATGCACAGTAAATTGTGTAGAAGTGGCTGGGAAGATAATAGTTAGTTTGACAAGAGTTGTTTGGAGGGATTTCTCTCAGCCTTGATTCTCATCTCTGGTGATAAGAATGCTTTCAGTGCCTTGGCTGGTATGGCTCAGTGGACTTCAAATGGTCACTGGTAAAAGGTCGCTGGTTTGATTCCCAGTCAGGGCACATGTCTGGGTTATGGGCCGGGTCCCTGGTGAGGGCAACTGACTGATGTTTCTCTCCCTCTCTTTCTCCCTCCCTTCCCCTCTCTGTAAAAATAAATATATAAAAACTTTTTTAAAAGAAAAATGCCTTTTCTCCTTGTGGTACAGAAAAGACGCCTTTTGCCTGGGAATCTTATCTCCTGTTTTTAGGAAGAAAAAGGAGGATCAGTGTGCTCTTTTTGTATCTGCTGTTCCTCAAGTGCCTTCAGCTCAAAATAAGTTTCATGTCAAAGAGAAATATTTTGGGATGAGACATTCTGGTTTCTTTCAGAAGTGATGTCTTGTTGAATTAGGCTTGTTTTAGGTGCAGTCGAGCATTTTCATATGTTTTCTCTGTTGATATTAGGCAAAGGATTTGAAAAAAATTAAATAATATCAAAATACGAGTACTAATATGAACCCTACTGAATTAGAATAAAGGAAATAGCATGCGCCAAGAATGGCAGTGTTGAAAAGGAATAGTGCCCATGATATAAAATGAACTCCTTTGTCAGGCCATTGAGCTGCATGAAAGCAGAAATGAACATCCTCAGGCTCCTTTTCTTAGGGTTTCTATTGTTTTGAATCAATTTAAAAATAAGATGAAACGACTTCTTGAACCCAATGTTTCAGACATTTAGCATATTCAGACATTATTTAGCAGCATATGCTTGTTTCTCAGATCAAGGGTTAAAATCACTTTGAGAACCTTAAAAAGAAACTTCATTCCTCTTCCCAGTGGACAGATTTGTTGCTCAGCAGTGGGATTTCTGCATCAGTAAGTCTTTACATCTCCCCAGATGAAACTGAGACACAGCCAGAATCTCTGGTTTAGATATATTGTCACTGGTGTGGTATGTATTTAACATTAAAACAAAAAACACATGGACAGTAGTGAAGTCTGCAATAAACTTGAAGAATTTTTTGCAAAACATATGAAGTACAGCTGACTGTTCTGTTAAGGCCGCCGCAGGGCTTACTAGCTCAGGGCAGATTATTTTCCTTTGAAATCATTTTAATAACTCTTTACATTAGCATCTAGTACATTTATTTTTAAATATAGAACTAATTGTTTCTCAAGTTACCAGTTTTTGAGGTGTGAAATGAAGCCACCCTCCAGGAAAATGCAGTTTCACTTGGCCTCTGTTTGATCAGGATACACTAGTGCACACAAACCTGTAATCTTCGAGAGCTTTCAGTACTGTGAATGACACTTAAAAGAAGTTAGCATTGTCATGTAGAGTATATCGCTCAATGTCATACAATAGATACAAAGAGCTTTCTAGAGCTGTAATGTGAAGCCTGCCATAGTGCATTTTTTGCATATTAAAAAAATGCAAAACCAATGTATTTTGTATTTTGTCTGGACATTATTGTGAGGTTATCCGTGTGACCAAGAAGCCACTTTGTGTGTGTGTGTGTGTATGTAGATGAATGCCCACTGGCTATCAGAGGTGTGTCCATAACTATAGGTCTTTGGGGGAATATATTTGCAAAGTTGCTGTGCCACACCAAGTTGTATAATTATGAAAGTGAACAGTCAGAAATTTCTCTATTCCTTTTTGTTTACTTTTTCCTCTGTTTATCAGATTTTATGTTAATGAAGAAGTGTTTATAGAGCTCCTCACTGAAAAGTTTTCAATTTACCTCTTAGGAGTAAGGTTTATTTTAAACAGCTTTATTTTCATATAATTCACATAGACACTTTACCTATTTAAAGTATACAGTTTAATAGTTTTTAATATATTCACAGAATTGTGCAACCTTCACCAAAATCAATTTCAGAACATTTTTATTACCTCCAACATTCACCCCTTAGTTGCTACACCCAACTCTTCACCTCTCCCAGACCTGGGCAAATACTTATCTAATTTCTGTCTCTATAGATTTGTCTATTTGGACATTTCATAGGAATGGAATTATACAATATATGGGTTTTTGTGTCTGGCTTCTTTCACTCAGTATAATGTTTTCAAGTCTCCTTTGCTTTGTAACATGCATCAGAACTTTATTCCTTTCTCTTGCTGAAAAATATTCCATTATATGGATACAGTATATTTTATTTATCCATTTATCAGTTGAATGACATTTGGATGAGCTTTTCTTAAATAGGGAGAAACTGTCAAAAAGTTGAAGCTCCTGTATTTCTGTAGCATGGAGAAAAATCTCTGTCCTTTGTCACAGGTGGAGGTGTCACACCCAGCTATGAAGACCAGTATCCTGCTTATGTTCCTTTGGGGGTTGTCTTGTGCTCTTCCCGTAAGTATCAGGACAAAGATATGGAAAAAAAAACTTTTATACCTAAAACTTCACAATTTTCATTGTCTATGAGCCAAGGTGGCTGTGTATGTGCCAGTTAGATGAAAATAGTAGTTTCTCAAGTAGTTGTTTTCTTTAAAATATCATCTCATTTATTCCTTATTCTGTCCAGTTGCTATTCACATAGTCTTGAGTCTTGTATTTCTTTCTCAAAAGCAGTGGTTCTCAAAGTGTCCTCCTCAGAGCAGCAGCAGCAGCAGCAGCAGCAGCACCTAGAACTTTGTTAGGAATTTGAATTCTTGGGTCCTACCTCAGACCTCTGGAGTGAGACTCTGTGGGGGTGGGGCACAGAAATCTATGTTTTAACATGTCCCCAAGTGATTCTGATGCTTGCTAGAATTTTACTACCACTGTTCCTAATTTAAATAAAGTGTTAATAGCTGCTGTCTGGGAAATTTCTCTGTGGGCTTTCTCTGTGGGCTGACTGTGTGTATTAAATTTTCTAGGTAGCCAGGTATCAAAATACTGAATCCGAGAGCTCTGAAAAATGGAAGGTGAGCAAAAATAAGATTTTTTGAAATATTTTTATTTTAATACATTATTAGTACAACCAAGTTATCTCCAGTGCAAATGTTGAAACTTCTAATAATTTAATAAACACATAACTTAAGATATAGGTGGACCAGCTATAATTTCTAGTTCATATAAGAAAATTTAGTTCATATACTACTTCAGTTCCAACTTACTAGTATAATTTGGTGAGGAAGCTTTTTCTCCTTTAGCATTATTTTCATAATGGATGCATGTAGTAGTGCAAGGGGATGGATGACAATGAACCAAGACTGCCCTTGGAGGATTAGGTCTACAAATACGTTTTACCAGATGTCTGGGTAAGCAGCAGGTCAAGTCCTGGAAGGTGAGAAAAGAATGAAAAATGAGAGGATACTAGAGTCTTCGGAATGGTAGCTAATGTTAGCTGAGTGTTGACTCTGAGTAACCTGATAGTTATTAACTCTCAATAACTCAAGAACCCTTGCCAGGCATGGTTCTGTGTGCTTTATATGTATTTACTTTTCTTAATCTTCACAACACTCTAATAAACTAGGGGTTGTATTTTATTCTCATTTTACAAATGGGAATCCTGAGACATAGGGAGTAACCTAGTCTCTCTGGGCTGTAAGGTTAATAAGTGTTAAAACTAGACTTTGAACCAGGTCACTCAGGCTCCAGAATCCACCTTCTGTACTGGGGTGTTCTGTCCCTCTGAGGAAGGTACCAGGTCTAGGAAGTCAGTAGTTTCTTAAGACTAAAACTACAAGTAAGGGTTAAAATCTTAAACTAAGTAAGAGTGTTTTGTTCTTTGTCTTGTTTCCTGCTACATTATTCAGCTTGGGCACAATGCCATTAATAGCAGGAGGATAATGACAGAGGTCTGAGATGGGGTCCTGCCCCTGCCTGAGGCTGGCAAGCACTGTGCAGGACTTCCTACTGGAACTTGCCTCAAAGGTGTCCTTAGGCTAGATCATTTAAAAGCAGCCAGTACAGATTCTTTTGCTTTCAGCCAGAGACTCTAAAACTACCCAAAACATGCTATGTTCTCAAGCCTAGACTTGGCATGAGAAAAATACCAATGTCTTGCTCCCTTCCACCCCTAAATTCCAAATGATAGCTGACTGGAGTCTGTCATTGCACCTGCCTGCAGTGTCACAGGGCAAAGACTTAAAGTGCATATACAGTAGCTCCTTCTTGTGAAGAAATATCTCCAGCCCAGCATTCCTGAGAGGCTTGTTGAAAACCTGTTGATAACTGATAGCAGCTCCTGCCTGCTTAACTTTGCACCTTGTTTTTCACACCCATCTCTCAGCAGCTTTGACCCACAGGAGACTTTGGGATTTTGCCTTGCTCAAGGGGAAGGAGGAGAGTGAATGGGGAAAGGGCACCAGAGGTGGCTCAGACATTTTTAGAGTTTTTATAAGATTAAAGGAAGTGAAATAAATCAGCCCTAGCTGGTGTGGCTTAGTGGATTGAGCACCGACCTGTAGACTGAAAGTTCACTGGTTCAGTTCCCAGTTAGGGCACCTGCCTAGGTTTTGGGCCAGGTTCCGGGTTACGGGCATGAGACAGGCAACCAACCACTGTTTCACACATCATGTTTCTCTCCCTCTTTCCCTCCTTTCCCTTCTCTCTAAAAATAAATACATAAAATCCAAAAAAGAACGTGAAATAAATCAGAACTATAAGTAATTAAATTTCAGATTTATAATATATTTTTTATTTTGGTGACCTATGTGACTCAAGAAAGGCTTAATGGCTTTCTCTAGTCAGTTTTGTTTACTATTGAATTTTATAAAGTGGATGTTCTCAAATTGATCATTGCTTTAGTTTACATCATATTGAATAGTTCCTAATATGCTTCCATAGGCTTTCACTGATTTCATCCTCACAGAAACCCTGTGGTGTAAGCAGACTGGTTGCTAATATTCTTAATTTATGAATAAGAAACTGATATTGCACTAGCAGAGTAAATTGTCCAAATTCACATATAGTGCAACCATGGCAATTTACCTGAGGGGTTTTCCTGAGACACATGAATTTCAGCACTAACACCAAGACCTTCATTTTCAGGACTAACACCAAAACTAATGAGCTAATTGAGACTTAAGTCTGGGTCCTGAGTTCCCATGCTGTTTTTCCTCTTATGTTTCCTCTAGGTTGAGTTTCAAACAAAGTTAATTTTTCTCTAAGTGAAGTATTAGAAACACAGAAATTTTCCAGGTCTTTTAATCATAAGATTTCTTTCAGGCCATTAGTCATCTCACATTCATTTTTAAGTTATTTCATCGTAATATGTCATTATTACTCATGTAAATTCAAAACATACAGGGTCTGGCACAAATAACATCCCTTTTTATTACAAAGTCATAAGCATGTAATTCTTTTTTTTTCATACAACCCTTTATTAACCAATTATTTATTTGACTGCCTTGGAAAAGTATAAATGGAATCCTAGATCCTAAATCTTATAACAAAATGACCTTCTCTTTATTTATTTACTTATTTCATTTTATTTAATTTGATGGCAGAAGATCTTAATGAAACTGTATTTTTTTGAAATTACAGTTTATATTCAATATTATTTGGTATCCATTTCAGGCATAAGGTACAGGGAATAAGATGCATAAGCATGTAATTCCGTAACGTAACAATCACACTCAAGCACACCAAATGACATTTTAGGTGAAATATTCAAATTAAAATTATAAATTATTACACCCATATTATTACCCTACTCACCACACTCAAGCAGGCATTACTTCTGCTGGACCCTGTATATCAAGAAACTTCTAGAAATCATCCAAAGTTTTTCTAAATATTTGCAATGACATGTTTCATCTGTGAAAGAGTAACTCATTTTCCTTCCTTTTTTACAGGGTCATTTGGCTCAGACACAAACACCACCTCTGGTAACTATCTCATTTATTTGTTGTCATAAACATCTCATAAAGTAACTTTACCTCTCTTCTCATCAATTTAGGCTGTTTGGAAAGTAGTAAACCCAAACTATGAGCAATTAATGTGTATCATATTTTTTTCCTTTTCTCAGGAGTTACTAAACATTTGTTTTTCCTTTTAGGAGAGCAGTGAGTCATCAGAAGAAAGTAAAGTTAGCTCAGAGGAACAGGTAATTAAACAGAACTTTCTTAACTTTTCAGACTATTTAGGAATTGAAGGAAATAATGTTAGATTAAATTACCTGGCAACTGTTCTAAATATAATATTTTCTAACCATTGGTTATGCTGACTAAATAGTCACCTAAAATAAGAAGGGGGAAATGAGTGGGAAAATTCAAATGTGGATATGCTATTCATTCCATATTCGTCACTGGGGCCAGATTATAGACATTGTGGCCCTAAATGTCCCTCTAGTTAAAATGAATATGAGCACACACACACACACACACACACACACACAATAGTCATAGACTATGTTAGACAAGCAGTAGTTCACTCACCAGTCTGAAATGTTACTTATGTTGCTTTTACAATTAGAGCGGTTCAGATCAGGCATACATGGCATGAAGTGCCTGCGGGGCCTAGAGACCTCCTGCATGTTAAGGATCCTGTCGAGGAGAGAATAAGGAGAACCCTGAGGAAACCTGAATGAAGCAGCAACTTTCATAATGACTGTCTCTTTAAAATAGTCTCATCTGTAGTCCTGGATTGAGAAAAACTGAGTTAGCTTATATCCCTGTAATGAAAACCTGTCTTTCTCCTCCTCTTCTTCCTCCTCCTTCTTCTTCATTTCTCTAAGAGTAAATGTCATTATGTTTTTAGTTGTTCTATCAGTTTTGACTAAAATGAACCCATGGGGCTGCAGAGATTCTGGGAACCAGGTTTTTCTCTGACCATGGGTTTTGACCCATGTTGCATTCTATACTTGACCACAGTTGGATGACAAATTATTAGGCTTTGTGCCACCATTTACTAAAGGTTTTTCAGAGGAACATTCTAGAAATTTATAAGCATAGATCTTGGAAAATGCCCTTTTCTGTAGATGTGGTGATTTACTACTTCAGTGTTCTCTAAGCTCAGATGAGGGTAACAGTCTGTGCCTCAGAGGATGCCGTTCGTGCCTATGGAGGTATGGAAAGCTATGCAGATACTCAGTTCCAGCAGATCAGTGTAAACTAGTGATGCAAAGAGAGCTCAACATTCTGTACTCCTCAGACATTGATCTGTGGGAACATGTAGAAAAAGAAAAAAATTGCCAAGAATGTTCTTGTTATAGCATATGAGAAAGAAAGCAGATGTTCCAGAGTACAGTGATGATGACTCAATGCCCTTCCTTGTCTGTGGAGAGCATCCCATTGTTTTACTTAATAGGATAATGTGTCTGAGCTCACAGAACTAAGCTGCCTTGGTAGTCACACTAGTTGCACTCTTCTACCTGGGCCTTTTAGGAGCAGCTCTCTGCCCAGAAAAACAGGTATAAATATGGTTTGGGTGAGATATATATCAATACCTATTGCAATATTTTACTTTCATTTTAGCTGAAGGTTTCATTCTCCTGCCCTAATACATCTCCCCCACTCCCTGAATTGATTAGAAAAAAATATTTGGGTCATTTTTAAACCAACCAGTATTTTTAAAAATTCTGTTTAAACCAAATAATTTGATGAGTGAGTATTATAAACCAACTCTTAATTTACAAAAAACTCTCTGAGAGTTTTCTTTAAGGAATCATTCTTATAATATGATTTCATAAAAGTGATTCAACAAAGCTTTTTGAGAATTTTTACAGCACGAATGAATTTTGCTTACAAAAAACTAGAATGACTTGAGTTTCAATTCCTTTACCTTCCCTTTTAACCTCTGGCAGAGATGTTATTGAGCAGTGAAATTGACCATGGTTAGATGAGAGACATAGGAAGAAGAAAGCAGAAAGAATGTAGATTGATATTAGGTAAATACACCCTCTATATCACCTCCTGAAGTACTGACCATGTCTGTTAACCTCAAACTCCAGGTAAATGAAGACCCCAGCGACAGCGCTAAATCAGAGGAAGGCCTGGGCCTTGATGATCATTGGTATGTTCATAGACCAGCTGGTGGCCTCTCTAGGCATGCAGGAAAAGAAGGAGATGATAAAGACAATGATGAAGATGACAGTGGAGATGACACCTTTGGTGACGATGATAATGGCCCAGGACCTGAAGAAACACAAGGAGGAAACTCCAGACTCAGAAGTGATGAAGACTCAGCTGACACCACACAATCCAGGGAAGATAGTGCCTCTCAAGGGGAAGACAGTGCCCAAGGTACCACCAGTGAGAGCAGGGATCTTGACGATGAGGATGAGGGGAACAGCAGACTTGAGGGAGATGACTCCACTCAAGAGAGTGAGAGTGAGGAGCACTGGGTGGGAGGTGGCAGTGAGGGAGACAGTAGCCATGAGGATGGCTCTGAGTTTGATGATGAAGGGATGCAGAGCGATGATCCAGACACCATCAGGAGTGAGAGAAGCCACTCCAGAATGAACAGTGCCAGTGTCAAATCAATAGAATCAAATGGGAACAGTGATGAGCATGTAAGCACTCAGGATTCAGGTGAGAGCCAATCCACGGAGAATCCCAGTAGGAAATTTTTCAGAAAGTCCCGCGTATCTGTGGAAGATGACACAGATGATCTTGACAATAGCAACACAATGGAAGAAGTCAAGAGTGACTCCACAGAAAACACTAACTCCAAAGAAACTGGCCTCAGACAATCCAGAGAAAACAGCAAGAGTGAATCTCAAGACAGTGAGGAGAATCAGTCTCAGGATGACAGTCAAAATGTACAAGACCCCAGTAGTGAGTCTAGTGAAGAGGTTGACCTGCCATCTCCAGAAACTAGTAGTGAGTCTCAGGAAGAGGTAATGAGTAAATCTAGGGGTGACAACCCAGATAATACCTCCAGTCACTCAGAAGAAGGTCAAGAAGACAGTGACACCAGTGAAGAGGAGAGTTTGAGTAAACCCTCCAGTTCAGAAAGCAAATCCAGAGAGGAGCAAGCTGACAGTGAATCCAATGAGAGCCTCAAATACTCAGAAGAAAGCTCGGAGTCCATTGAAGATGAAAACAGCTCCAGCCAGGAGGGCCTCCAGTCTCACAGTGCCTCTGCAGAGAGCCAGAGTGATGAAAGCCAGTCGGAACCAGACAGCCAGTCTGAGGAAGGTGATGGCAGTGATTCTGAGGACAGCAGCAAGTCACAAGAAGATAGCATCTCTACTGAGAGCGATTCAAGCAGTGAGGAAGATGGCCAGTCAAAAAACACTGAGATAGAAAGCAGAAAACTAACAGTTGATGCTTATCACAACAAACCCATTGGGGATCAGGATGACAATGACTGTCAAGATGGCTATTAGCATCAGCCTTCCTAAAATGTGGCTCTCAGGCAAAGGAGTCTTGGAGGTTGGAGAGTAGGGAAAGAATTATAACTATAACTTATTGATGTTTTTTTATCAGAAGACTAACCGAAGGCCATTTCTTTCTGAGAGGAAATGCTGGACATTATAATTGTTGCTAGGGTATCACCAGCCAGATAGGTTTAAAAAATATGGAGTGACACCAGAATACACTCAGTGAAACTGGAAGCAAGGAAAGATGTGCATTGTAGCTTCACAGCTGAAATAGTTCCTAACTCATGAACCTAACAGTTACTGAAATTCTATTATGTGCCAGGCACTGTGCTAGGTGCTAGGGATATCAAGAAGCTGAAGGCTTGTTTCTTGCTCCTGAGGAGCTTAGAGAGGAATAAATAAAGCTAAAAATGTAAAGAGGAATACATGTGAGTAAAACAAGAACTACTGCAATCCCATGTGGAAGGTGCTGTAACAGAGGCATGAAAAACATATGTGAGAGGATAGAAGAAGGAACCAACCTCATCTTGGGGAATCAGGGAGGGGAGGGATTCACAGCAGAGAAAACACTGGAATGAGACCATTTCATAGGATTTCTTCATTGAAGAAGAGGGAATTCCATTTATTCTTGAGATAAGCAATAGTAAATCCCATATGATTGAATGTTTACTTTGTGAAAGCACTTTCAAGTTATGAACCAGTGTGAGACATTTGGCTAAACAAAACTTTTTTTTCAACTAATTTATCATTTTTGACATTTTCTGTGGAACTCCCATGAGCACCCCCTCATTGACTACTGGTGGTGATGTCAAGGGTTGGATGGGGAGATGGGAGAAGAAAATTCCTCTTTTAAGAGATAACTTCTAGCTTTATTTTTTTCTAAAATCAGTCTATGTGCAATGCTAAAAAAACTGTTCTCTGAGTCCTTTACATATGTTGCACATAACAAAATTGTATATATAGAACTCAATTGATTTTTGCCAAATACCTTTTGAAATGTTACCTCAACAGAGAATATTTGTTTTATAATAAAGATAATAATATACCAAAGTATGTGCTTATTTTTTATAGTAACTGTGTTAGGATATATTTATATTAAGCAACTCTTCCTTTAAAGCATCATGAAACAGTTTATTAGCTTTCTTCCATTCAAATGAAATATTTTAAAATTATTCTTTAAAATTTAATTTTATATATAATTCAGGTAGCATTTTGATAAAATTGCTTTCCATTTTGCTTATGATATGTCATTGAATATACTTGTTGTAGATAAGGAAACAAAGAAAACAAATTCTCAACTTTTTTATGAGGCTGCAGCAAAAGGCTACAGGGTTTGAATTTAACATTACTTTTTGCTGGTCTCTTAGATTTGTCTTTTGTGTAAACTTTGGGAACTAGAAACATTCCTTATATTTTTATTTCTTTGGAGGAACTTACTTCACCTCAGTACTTCAACTTTTCAGGTGTGCTTTCACCCACATTTCTACCTAGAGTACATGAGAATTCCTCTGCAAATTTATTGAAAGAATTAAGATTTCCTAACCTTGAATTCGACACTTCTTGTTTTTACTTTTCCCTCACTATTTCAAAGCAGTGGTCACTTGGGGAGATTTTAATTTCTCCAAGTGACCACTGCTTTGAAATACACACACACACACACACACACACACACACACACACACACACGCTGTGGCAAAAGTAGGTTTACAGTTGTTCCCATGCAAAATAATACAATAATTAATAAATAATAATACAAGAATAAACTCTGCATTTTACATAGAACCACAAACCTACTTTTTCCATATACACACACACACACACACACATATACATGGAAAATCATATATATATATACTCATATATATATGATTTTTTCTTTAATCCTCCATCTTAAAATTTTAACTCAGTATATCTGGAGTTAAACCCAGAGTTCCCTATTTTTAAATGAATACTGGAAGATTTTGATGTAGCTTATTCATGTACCTACATTTGGGTTCCCTGGCTCTATGAGTTAATTATCTGGTTCTATTAATATGCAGGTTCTGGCCAACCCACAGCTTCTTCTGAGGTGAACTGTTTCATGCTCAGACCTTCTGGGTGACTGAGGCAAAGGTGACCAGGTTCTAATCATTCAGATGCCTTGCCTCACCCAGGTGATTGTATGGAATGAACACCTAACCCAAGGGGAGTTGGCCTGTAAGCTGGCCAGCAGCATCGGAGCAGGCACATTGCGAAGGCCCTGCCTAAACACAAATGACAGTGCCTTGAGGTCTAATCTGATTTTGCCTCTCAGAAAATTTGGATGTTTAGGGAGAGAGCAGTCAGAAGGTGGTCTGAACAAAAATAGAAGGGAAAACAGAGGCAGAATAGAGAGAGAGAGAGAGCATAGAACTGTTCATGTTGGAGCACAAAACTGAAAATTATTGAGCTCCTCATGCTGAGAGGCAAAATCATAATCTTGTTCTCAGGCTTGGCTCTTGACCCTCCTATTGCCCCAGACCTTCCTGAATTCTTGTGACATCCTTCCTCTTAAGTGCCACCTGTATCCTTACAACACACCCAACTTTCTTGAGGCAAACAGACGGTCTTTGTTCCCTGCAACTAAAAATCCTAGTGAACTCAGACTCATAAACTTAGCCAGTGTTCTGAGGTCATATAACTCCTTAACCAGGTTAACTCACAGAACTTTAGAAAGATGAACAATGATAAGAATTTCAGCAATGTTCATGTTAGAAATCATCTAAAGCAGATGTAGGGAAGTTTTCTTTTAAGTTTCCATCAACTCATTTTATGTACTAGTTATAGATATTGGTCCACCTTGCAATTGGAAGTATTATAGAAAAGTTACCCATAGGAAAGCTGGACTTGGTCTTTAACTTTGAAGATGTAGAACTTTCCTCATGGAGGCTCTCATTGAAGTTTATAGTCTATGGGTTCATTTGGGAAGCCAAATCACAATTGGAAACCAATTTTTAATTTGTAATGGGAGAGAATAAGAATTAAAAATATATAATATGAGCATAAATGGAAACAGGGAATTATGTGACGTGGTAAATTTATGGTGCTCCATGAGAAACCTCACAGTTGTGGCTCAAATGCTAAAAATCTGACTCTTTTTTTCCTAGAACGTACTCAAAAGGGCCATTATCAAGTCTTGCCTTAGTGACCTTTATTTTTCAAGCTTATTAGGGCTAACTTACTCTTCTTTAAGTAGTCCATACTTTCCCTGCATAGAATACTAGAGTCAGTTTGGTTTTTGTGGAGTGCTGCTGGTCTGGAAGCCATGCTGTCTTCTCCAGATGATTTTGCAGATGTATATAGACCTTAAAATGTAATTCCTAAGTAACCATCTTACTTTATTTCTCCTAGTATTTGGGGAGGATGTGCAGGCTCTGTGGCTCTGCCCATTTCTTGTTTATGTGGTGTATCATGTTAATTGCTTTGCATATATTGTAGCAACTTTGCATCCAAAGAATAGTTTCCATTTCATCATGCTGTATGATTTTTTAAAAGGTATTGTTGACTTCAGTTTGCTAATGTTTTGTTGAGGATCTTTGCATATATGTTCATCGAGGATACTGGCCTTTAGTTTCCTTTCTTCATAGGGTCTTTATCTGGTTTGGGAATGAGGAGAATGCTGGCTTCATAAAATGAGGTTGGGGGTCTTCCCTCCTCTTTCATTTTTTGAAATGGTTTAAGAAGGATAGATTTGAGTTCTTTGAATGTTTGGTAAAATTCACTGTGAAGTCATCTGGTCCAGGATGTTGGCTTACTGTGAATTTTTGATCACTGCTTTGATTTTATGGGGTCATAATGGGTCTTCTCAGATTTTCTGTTTCTTCTTGATTGGATTTTAAGAAATTGTATGTTTTTAGGAATTTATCCATTTCTTTCACTTTGACCAATTTGTTAGCATATAGTTGTTTGTAATATTTTAATATAATACTTTTTATTTCTGTGGTGTCAGTTGTTATATCTCCTTTTTCATTTTTGATTTCATTTCTTTGGGCCCTCTCTCTTTTTTTCTTGATGAGTCTGGTTAAAGGTTCACCAATCTTGTTTATCTTTTCAAAGAACCAGCTGTTGGTTTCATTGTTTTTTTAAACTCTATTTTATTTATTTCTGCTGTTGTCCTTATTATTTCCTTTCTCCTATTCACTTTATTTGTTGTTTTTTTTTCTAGTTCCTTCAGGAATAAGGTTAGGTTGTTTATTGGAATATTTTCTTGTTTCTTAAGGTAGGCCTGTGTTGCTATGACCTGCTCTCTTAAGACTGCTTTTGCTGTGTTCCATGGATTTTGGGTTATTGTGCCTAGACCTGTTATTTAGTGGAGAAATTTATCTTACTTCCCTCAAATTTTCCCATGAAGATATATGCAAGTTTGAAGATTATTACTGAAGATTTTATAAAAAGAAATACAATGATGATTTTGGAAAAACTACAATATGGTGTCCAAAAAGAGAAGTTTATACTAAAGCTTTTAGTAAACATGGCTCACTGTGAGCAAAACTCATTCAGCCCCTGATGTTGTCACAAAGCAGTAGACGCTGTGATTTCTACTGCTGATCCCACTGGTAATGACTCTAGTTTCTGCCACTAACACTGGTACTACAATAACCCTGGAAATACTGATCCCAGCTGTCACTGCTGCCAGATGCCGTTCTCTATGTTCCTTGTATCATTGTATCACTAATTCTCAATTCCAAGTCATGGTAGGTGCACAAAGTTGGAAGAGCCTATACTATATGCCCATGCACTAGAAAAGGGACCCTAGAAAATATATTGCATTATCAGCTTCAATCTCACAAGATAAATTTTGTCTCTCATTCAAACATGTAAGGAGGTAACATATGTACCATGTGAAGGAAGAAGATTCAGATGCTGGGTGAGCAAAAGGATTGAAAAGTACCCACTGCTTGGAGAGGATCCATGTGCATGCAGCATTAATGCCATGGGAGTGACCAAGTCAACTTCTATGGCTCTGGGTGTGATCCATGTTGGTAAAG